AACGATCTCGTAAGGTATCCCGTGGCGGCATATGATGTTCTTCCAGACGAAGCTCTCGACCTGCGCGTCTTTGATGCTGGCGTAGGAGTCTGCCTCGATCCATTTGGAGAAGTAGTCTGTCAGTACGAGGACGAGTTTCTTCTGCTTGGAGTTGTGTAGAGGTCCAATGATGTCCATGGACCATCGCAAGAACGGATAAGGCGAAGTGATGGAAGAGAGGAGCTCGGCGGGTTGATGAATGGTTGGTGCGTGCCTCTGGCATTTGTCACACCGTTGAGAAAACTCCTCGCAGTCTTTGACCATTGTCGGCCAAAAATATCCGTGGCGTTTGATCTTTATAGCTAGGGCTCTCCCGCCAGAATGGTTTCCGCAAGATCCACCGTGTACTTCTTCCATGATTCTCCGAGCTTCATTTCCTTCGACACAGATAAGGAGGGGACCGGAAAATCGCCATTTAAAGAGTTCTCCGTCGATCAGAGTATACCGAGCCGCTTTTGCCTTAAGCTTCCGAGCTGCCCATTTTTCAGTAGGAACTTCTCCATCGGCAATGTAGCTTCGGATGGCTCCGATCCATTCGGCGTCGCTTCCGTATTCGGGCTCAGTTGCGTCCGTAGTTTGCTGGTTTAGCAGTTCGATGTCCATTTCTTCCGGTTCTTCAGTCCCCCGAGCTGTTAGAATTTGATCCTTGCTATTATCTTCAATGCTCGGCTTTTCGATGAATTCGACCGGTATAATTCTCTTCAGATTCGGGTCGGAGGTTGAAGCTAGAGCCGCTAAGGCATCGGCCGATGTGTTTTCGCCCCGTGGGATTCTGGTTAACTCAAACTCTTCGAACTGTTTCGCCAAGTCTTGTGTGAGAGCAAGATACGCTTCCATTCGTTCGTCGCGAGCCACGTATTCTCCATTGAATTGATTAGCCACGAGCTGGGAGTCGCAAAAGGCTCGCAGCTTGTTGATCTTAAGTCCCCGAGCCAGCTTAAGTCCTGCTATCAGCGCTTCATACTCAGCCACGTTGTTAGTCGCGTCGAAATTTAGCCGAAAGGATTGTTCGAGGATTTCACCCTCTGGTGATGCTAGGCGGATTCCGACGCCAGAACCTTGTTTTGAAGATGAGCCGTCGACGTGGAGGATCCAAACAGTGTTGGGTGACTCTTCTCGGGTGTTCTCTGTTGGCAGCTCGATGATAAAATCGGCGAGGACTTGAGATTTCGCGCATGTTTTGTTCCTGTATTCGATGTCATACTCGCTGAGTTCTACTGCCCACTTGGCCAGGCGTCCCGATTGGCTCGGACTGTGCAGGATGGTTCGGAGTGATACGGGCGCCATGACGACAATTGAGTGAGACTGGAAATATGGCCGTAGCTTCCGAGCTGACATTACTACTGCGAGGGCGAGCTTTTCAGTTTGCGGGTAGCGTGTTTCCGCGTCGGTGAAAGTTTGCGAGACATAAAATATCGGCTTCTGCTATCCTCTGTCTTCCCTGACTATGACTCCACTTATCGCCGTATCAGAGACTGCGATGTACAGAAATAGTGGCTCGCCTGGGACTGGTTTCGCCAACACCGGTGGATTAGCCAAATACTTCTTCAGTTCCTGGAAAGCTTCTTCGCAGCGATCGGTCCATTCGAATTTCTTGTTCCCGCGCAAAGTATCGTAGAAAGCCAGGCATTTGTCAGTGGATCGCGAGATGAATCGGTTCAAGGCTGCGACTCTCCCGGTGAGACGTTGGACTTCGCGCTTGTTCTGTGGTGAGGGCATGTTCAGTAGAGCATCGATCTGCTTCGGGTTTGCCTCGATGCCTCGGTGAGTTACGAGATATCCCAAGAATTCTCCCGACTTTACCGCGAAACGACATTTTGCCGGGTTGAGCTTCATGTTGTGCTTGTTGAGCTGGCGAAAACAACCGCGTAGATGGGCTATATGATCGCTTTCTTCAAGGGATTTGACTAACATATCGTCGATATAAACTTCCATCGTCTTCCCGAGCTGCTCGGAGAACATCCTTTTGACGAGCCGTTGATACGTTGCGCCAGCATTCTTGAGTCCGAAGGGCATGACTTTGTAACAGTAGATACCTCGGTCTGTGATGAAAGCTGTCTTCTCGCGATCGTCGGAATGCATGAGAATCTGATTGTATCCTGCGAAAGCATCCATGAACGATAGCAACTTATTTCCCGCGGTTGCTTCCACTAAGCGATCGATATGTGGGAGTGAAAAACTGTCTTTAGGGCAAGCTTTGTTCAAATCAGTGAAATCGACGCAGACTCTCCACTTGCCGTTCTTCTTTTTGACCACGACAGGATTTGCTAACCAGTCCGGATATCTTGCTTCGGAGATCGAGCCGATCTTCAAAAGCTTTTCTACTTCGGCGTTCACGGCATCTGCGCGATCCCGACCCAATTTTCTTCGCTTCTGCTTGATGGGTTTGAAAGATGGGTCAACATTCAGCTCGTGGCAGATTACGTCGATGCTTACCCCAGGTAGATCTTCAGCCGACCAGGCGAAGGTGCTGACGTTCTCTTTGAGAAATGAGATGAGCTCTGCGTCTTAGGGTAAGAGAATTCTAAAGTATTCCCCACAGACGGCGCCAAACTGTGGAAGTCGAAACTAACACAATCGAGATTTGTCTAGGGTTTTAATTTATGGATACGATTTGCGAGAATTCTCAAAGAACGATATCAATTGATACCAAAGATGATGTTCTTGATATTATTAAGGAAAAGATGACTTTGATCGTACAAGAGTTTGATCGTAAAGAAAAAGATGTTTGTGCTGTGAGAGCTTTGCGTAATGTAAATTCTAGAGCGATATTGCCTCTCCCTCTGTGAGAGCCTTGAGTCTCTATATATAGGGATGATAAACCGCTTCTCCAGCGATATTCTCGGAAGATTTCCATTTATCTTGAAGTCGGCCAGAATATCGTGGATTAGGATAATTTCCTTATTCTTCGGAGTTTTTGGAAGACTTCCTGATTTGAGTTGATCCTTCGCGATTCTTTTTTATCATTTCCGAGTTTATCGGAAATGATCCTTCTTTTTCGGAAATGATACCTTGCTTGGAAATGATACTTTGAAGACGAATATTTACTAAGTCTTTGCTTCGGGTGATGACGAATACTTCACCCTGGAGAACTTATGCAATCAGCTCGGGTGCACAGGAAGGATCGGCTCGGGTACCTGAGACGACTTGTTCGGGTAACCCGAAGTGAAGGCCTCGGGTACACGGAAGGAAGTGGCTCGGGTATCTTGGCGTGAACCGGCTCGGGCGGTTGAAGAGCTGGCTCGGGTTGCGAGTTCACATGTGGATCCCGAGGCGACCGGCATGTTGCCCCGAGGCGAATGTCTTGTTACCCCGAGGTGAATGGCTTGTTTCACCGAGGTGATTGATACATTTCCCCGAGGTATTTTCAGAAGTTCCCTGAGGTGTCCAAAATCCGGCTCGGTGTTAAGGGATGGAATCCGACCCCAACACAATCTGTTCTGGAAAATCAGAGCTGACATTTCTCTTCCTCAGTCTTGGATGATCAATTGGCAAGTCGTCACTGCCTCGCCGTAGAGATGGGTCAAACCGACGGGTCAACGGCTTGAAAGGACCATCTAAAGTTGTTGGGATTGATTCTCCGGCGGTAAGTAACAATGACATTGAGGTTAGAGCAATCATCATTAGTAAAGACATGGTCCACGAGTTGTTTTCTTCGATTTTAAGTCCACGCGTGACGAGTTTTGATGGTCTCTCTCTGGAGCTTTGACGATCATGTCGCTTCTTTAAGCTTTGGTACTGAAGAATATGCTTTTTGATGTCGTGGAGGTTTTAAGTGGTACGTGTCACCATGTTTTTGGGAGTTCTGGTTACTACTTAAGTTGGCTTTTTAAATCAAAACCCAAGTTTTTAATTGTGAAATTTTCAAACCAGAATTTGGATAATGTTTTATTTGAAGAACCAAAATTAATAACCTTTTTGGAATAAAATGTATCAAAATAAATCATAGAATTAAAAAAAAAAAAATTGAATGTAAAATTTGTTCAAACAAAAAAAAAAGTTTTTACATCAAATGGTTCTTAAGTTTGAGAAAATAGTTAAGATTTTTTTTTTTTGGTGGAAGACGGGGGATTACTCCCCCATTTATTAAACTAAGAAAAATTACAAACGTATACGTCTCAGGCGCGCAGACCCAATAACATCATCACTTAAGAGTGAATCAACAACAACTGGAACAACAGAAAACGAATGAAAGCCAAAAGCAAGGAAAACGCATAGTTTGCTAACCCATCTGCCAGACGGTTAGCCTCTCTATACACATGTGAGATGCGAACTATCCAGTCCCTCGAAATAAAGCCATTGCACAAGCGTACCAGAAAAGACAGCGGATGCACATCACTAATCCCTGTCGTAAGAAAACCAACAACCAACTGAGAATCCACCTCAAGCTCGAGGCGTGTGACTCTCCTCTCCCAGGCAATATAGAGACCATAGTAAACACCCCATAACTCCGCCAAAGGTGCCGTGCAAATCCCTATATTGAGAGCAAACCCTCCACACCAACTACCGCGCTCATCACGTAACACTCCTCCCACCGTTGCCATACCCGGATTGCCGTGCACGCACCATCAGTATTGAGCTTGACCCAACCATTCGACGGTGCTACCCATCCCACCATTATCTCGGTCCGAGGCCCAAACAGAAAATAGTATGCAATATTTTTATTCGTGCTTTGTATATGTTTTTTTTCAAGTTATGTTTGATTTTATTGTTTGTTTGTTTCGAATTATAGTGGAGTTACGGTTTAAGGGTTCATGATAACATGGTTAGCTTTTGACTAGGATTACAATGGGTGATCCTCAGCAAAATGAAGAAAAAATTAATATAGCTAGCTATTTGTGAGAAAAATATAATTCAACGTGGACTTGATTCTAATGGTGTAATGAATAAGGTAACAGTGGAAACAAAAACATATAATCGATCCTTATGAAAGGCTTATCATAGAAAGACCACAAGCATTATCAAAGAACAGCAAAGTATCTGAAATATCATTACCAAAGTTATGAAGATCTTCAAAGTTTCACTTATAGGTTTGGATGCGAAAAAAGTTTACAGCTTCATGTGTGATAGAGACAACCAAACCACAAATATATTATATGATTTTAATGATTAATTGATGCGATCTTTGTTTCTTCTTTTGGGGTTGGGGTTTTAGTGGTTATGTTCCTGTTCTTCACATTATGTGTTGGGAATATGATCAGAGATTACATGGGAGCTTTACTCACTGGCTGTTGTCTCATAAATTCATTGTGTGATCACAAACGGCAATTCATCTGAAACATGATCTCATCCCATTCCCCTTTAGTTTGCCGTCCAACATTTATTTTGGCTTTTTGGTCGGATGGGTATATCAGGTTCATACAGTTTTGCTGATTTGGAGTCCTTAGCTTGAAAATAAGTTCTTCTTGAGCCTAATCTCATAGTGCCTCCCATATGCGTTTTAGACCCCTGCTTCAAACAAATATTACACGAAATCCCGAATTAAATATAGAGTGAAGTAACTGAAACTCAAACAGAAGATATGGAAGGGAACAAACCTCAGGCATGAAAATAACACAAGGGTTCTTGGTGTTGGGATCAAGTTCAGTGCTATTTGCATCTGGCAAACCGAGTACGGTTCTTGCAAACTCGATCACAGCAAGCTGCATCCCTAGACAGATACCGAGGTATGGAACTCTGTTTTCTCTAGCGTATTTTGCTGCCAACATCTTTCCTTCTACACCTCTATTGCCAAAACCTCCCGGCACAAGAATACCATCAGCACCCTGAAGACAAAATTACATAGACCTCATCAACAGAAAGTTCATCTCGAATACAAAGAATCAGGATTCATTTGATGGAAATGAAAGAATGGTCAGACCTTGAGTAACTTCCAGGCGGCCTTATATGCATCCGGATTCTGCAGAGAGGAATCATTTTGCTTCAGTTTATTAGGTATTCATAATTTTGTCTAAGTGTAATAGAGCTTAGTGTAAAGTGTAAACATACCTCTTTTTTTACACCTTGCTCAAGATCACTAGCTGAAATCCAATCTATGACAAGTTTCTTGCACCTAGCCACAGAAGCGTGCAAGAACTTAACTTATTTTCAAGCTAAGGACTCCAAATCATGCTGTTCATACAAGTCTCACCGTCAGAGTATTTAATGAACAGCATGAACGATACTACCAAAACGCTGCCTTTCAATCCATGGTTTCTACTTATATTTGAGAAAACAAAAAGGAAACAATATTAATATCCTCAAAGGAGCTTAGAATAGGAACAAGAATCTGGTGAGTGATCAGTGCTCAAATCTTCAAAAGCTGGAGACAGTGATGATTGGGTTCTCTTTAACTAGTACCATCATCTGTCTGGAACACATAGCCAGCCTCTTTAAAATGAGATTTCACCATTGCTAAAGACTTGTACCTATGAGATATCTTGTTCTTTTCTTCCTTTGCCATTTCTGCATAACTACATACAAAATAGATAATCACCAAGCACTCTTAGTTTTCTCTTATACCAATATCCGGAAAATCGAGGTTTAATACAATGATTTCTGGGAGATAACAGAGGCGTACGTTTGGTCATATCCATCAGGTTGAAACACTGGATCCCACCCAAAATCAGTTGGTCCTCTTGCTGGAACTATCTTACCCTAACATATCAATCACAAGGAAAAGAACAATCAAACTTTGACAATTAACAAACAGAGAAAGAAAAATAAAATAAAATGACTAGCAGATGGAGCAGAGAGTTTGATAAAAGAGCGGTGAAGATGTTGAACATACCGGAGTTTTCCCCAAAAATGTAAGAGGTTCAGCACCTGGACCAAGTGAGAAAGAGAATGCGGACAATGCATAAGCTGATTTATCTTCATAGGCCATCAGTAAGTCGTTCAGACCTGGACATGAGTCAGACCAAGATTGGGTGTTAACAGTGTAAGAGATACATGAAACAAATGCTGAGGTGAGAGAAACAAGTGCTATTACAAACCTTCATGACCAAGCTTCTCAAGAAACCACTTGCTGCAAAAATATAAAAGAAGATCAAAAGTGCTAAATAAGAACTGTACAACAACGTAGCTCCAAAACAGTTAGTCCTATGCTGAATCGCTGATTCTATATCAACCAGTAGTAGATCCCAGCAAATATAGAGACCTCTTCTACAATTCGGTCAAGCAATAAATTAAGACATCCAGGATCAGATCATTCAATAACACAACTCCATTTGGCTACTCACTCACTCACACCTCTTATCAGCCACCTAGAAGAACTAAGAAGGACTTGATCCCACCCAACCAAACCATTTCCAGGACATCCAAATAAAGTTACTACTCAAGAAAGTTTCAGAAATAAAGGTCAACATAAAATTTATCACAGTGACATATCTAAGTCTGTAATCCCTTAACCTCATGAAATCATAGTTGACCCCTCATCACAACAAATTGGAACTGGAGAAACTCGATCCTGCAAATGAAGATATACAAGCACAGCATCAAGAGAGGAATGACGAAACAAAACTTACATGTATGGCCCTGAAAAATCCAACAAAAACGAAATCAACATAAATTCAAAACTGTGTGACCATTTGCTGTATATAGAGTAAAATTGAAAAAAACTTAGAATCTAAAGGAACTCATACCAGGAAGTCCCTTCAAAGCATTGAAACAGAGACATGTATCCTCCACTAGCACTGGCCCATTCACCTTCTCATTTACAAATCAAACACACTTTATATCAGTTCTTACTATCCTTAGCAACTAACTTACTATTACAAGTCAACATTCAGCACTCAGCAGAAGGAAGCAAAGTTACAACACTAAACAAGAAGCACATTATGATCACACAATAAGCTTACACATAAACACAAGTATGATAATTTTGTAAATCATTCAAGTAACATAACTGAAAAAGGGTAAGAGCTTGTGCACCTGAAGAGCAGCCAAACGAGCCTTCTCCTTGGAGATATCCTCAGGATCACCTTGAAGCTCAGGCACTACAACTCAAGAAATACACAATGAGCCTAAAGAAAATGAGAAACAAAGTAATCGAAATCGAAAGAGGTACTCACGGTCGAGTTTGAGAGACTTGAAAGGAATGGAATTGCCGATGATAGCTTTGACTTCTTCGAGCTTCTTGGCGTTTCCAATCACAAAAGTCACCGGCCGTGGCAAAACCACCGCTGCTTTCGCCGCCGCCATTTTCTGTGTCTCAGTTCTCAGATAGCGAAAGCAAAGTCCTTTTGTTTTCTTTGCAAACATATGGGCATAAGTCCACTTTTATTTAGGCCCATTAATAAAAATATACTCGTTCGTCCAAAGTAAAGTTACGATTAACCGATCATTGGTTTTAAGTAAACCACTTTTCCATCTACATATACATTTTTACAAGGGATTTTTGCATAAACTCTTTTGGATCCGGGTTTTACCCGGTTTAATCCTATTCGGATCTAGGAATATTGTAATAAAAACAAACGAATCTTTTGAGTATAATTGCTATAACAATTCCATTTAATGTTTCTTTAAGTTTCTTTAATTACAAATAAGTTACCTATTTTAATGGTAAATAATCTTTCATAATAATGACCCTAATAAATGGCCAATCGTTTTCATATTTATGCTCATAATAAATGTCCAGATTTTAACTATATATATATATATATATATATATATATTATGAAATTATAAAGAAAAAATGTATTTAAAGAAAAACGACATTAATTAGTAATAAATTCATTTTTCATATTTAATATCACAAAAAAATCTTTTTTGGTAATATTTTCTGATTTAGGCAACAGAATATGATGAATTTATGACATTAAAACTATAAAATCTATATTATTCTAAAAGCGAATCCCTAAAATAACGTTAATAGGTAACTAATTGCACCAACTAATCTAAATAAATAGCATATTACCAAATCGCAATTGTGTCATCAATCATTTCCAATAATAGTTGGTATAAAATTTAGAGAATATCTCAATTTTTTATTCGCGAATTAGCATTAAATATTTGAATTAAAGATTACACGTTTAACAAACTTGCCAAAATCTCAACATATTATCTTTAACGACACAATTAGGGTTAGTTAATATTTAAATCCCCAACGAATTATAGAAATATATTAAATACTCAAATAAATGCATAATCCTAGCATATTCCAATTAACAATATAAAAGATTTACTCCTTGATATCTTGTGGCAGTTATTATTTTTTTTTCCGAAGATTTCTATGAATTAGCGAAACCTAATTAGTTTTCCTATAAATACTAAACACCTAAACTCCATTTACCATCGCCAAACACAAAACTTGGATGATTTCTCTTTCTTTGTTCTTTCTTTGTTGTTTCTTTCTCTAGCTAAAATATTTATTGTTTTTTTTTCTTCTTTTCAATTCTCTACAACTAGAAAATTCTAGATTTCTTCAAAATATGTATCACTAATATATATTTCGTATTGTTTTTTGCAGTTCAATTGTAACCGGCCATTCACGGCAACTAAGAGTGGGATCAGTGCATCGAAAAGTATGTATTTTTCGTTTTTGATTATGGTCAAACTGGGTTTTAGATTCATTATATGTAAATAATCTAATAACTAAATTTTACTAAAATTTTGCTAATCTCTATCTTTTTTTAATTGTGCTACAGATTTCTTAACGAGCTAAACTAAAAAAGACTATCATCTTCGTCATGAACATCGAGGTGATGCGTTAGAGCGAGCGAGTTAAGCCTCTAAAGTTTGATAGAAAAAAATTCATTTTTATTGTTAAAGGTGTCATTAATTTTTCTGTTGTTTTTAGAACATAATTTTAGAAGAATTTAGATTTCTAAGAATAAAGGTAAAAATTTATATTTTATAAAATCAAAAGTTTGTGGTTTATCATTAGATATGTTTTTTTTTAAAGTCCAATTTATTTATTTTTAAACGTTGACATGATTTTTTCCCCAATTTTTTTTTGGAAGGTGCTAAGAATAATGAATTTTGTTATTTTAAAAAAATTTTATAAACAATTTTAATAATTACGATTTTTATAAGGTTGAAGTTTTGTTATTGTTTGCATCATATATGTTTTTTTTTTTTTTTTCATGTTTAATGTTTTCTATGTATGCTTTTCTTTCTGATTTTGATTTTAACAAATATAATATCTAAGATCTTTAATAAATTTTCTTTAATTTCTTGCAGGAGAAGAAAAAAATGTAGAATCTTCCTCTTTTGATTTGTTCTCATCTTTCAAGTTTTTAAAAACACTAGGTGAATACCCACGCAGGGTTTTTTTTCCGATTGTTTCTAATTTTTGTAAATTAACAATTTTGTAAAAGCCAATACGAAATATGTCATTTGTTAAATGCTATTAACAATATTAAACCAAAAAAGATTGTTAAATAACATTTTGAGTCGAGAGTTGCATAATGAATTAAAATATCACACACAAAAAACTGTGGATGTAATAGAACTTATCTTTAGATATTATCTAACGTTTGCACAAATGTGTTTCGAATCGATGAACACGACCAAATGCATATGCCTTAGCTTGATAAAACTTCTATTTGTTGAGACAAATTTTGTGTTAAACCTTACTACTCATATGCCTTAGTACTCTAGTGTTTCAGCTTAATACACCTTGTCACTGCTATGCCATCTCTAAAGCAATCTCTATACAACTGTTTTGAAGTAACAATCATTTTTAAGTATTTAGTTTAAAAGAATCTTGAATCATTTTTAAGGATTCATATTCTGACACGCCCTCATCGCTGTGTCCGCTTCCTTAAACGTCACCTGATCAATCAAACCAACTTTTAGATAGAAAAAGTGAAACTTAATCTAAGAAACAAAAACGAAGAAGAGAGAAGAATAACATACAAAATTTAATCGAACGTGAATAGCTAAAGAGGTTTTGCTATTTAGGTTCTACTTGGGGAAGCATAATGGAGATTGTTGGTGTCGGATCCCGCAGTTCGGATCCGGCCCGGAAAGATAGTGGATCAGTGAGACGAAATGGGCCGTCGGCCCGGTCCAGGGGACGAAAAGAGCGGCCCAATAAGTTCAAGCCCAGTTCGAGTAAAACGGCGAGATCCCGCGAGTTAAATGAAAGGCGGATTGTACGGGATGTGCGAGATCGGGAAGATTCGAAACGGAAGCAATAATGGAGGCGAGATCTGCGGCTTGACGAGCGACTTCGGTTTCAAATCATGTAATTATAAATAGGAGACAAAAACCATTGTAATGAGAGGCTTTTTTTTCTTGATCAATAAACAGATACACACACTTGACTCTCTTGTTTTCTTTTGACGATTGTTGTTCGAATTAGCTAGACTAGACGATCCGATATACATCATAAAACTTGTATTGCGGATTCCGACATCCACAATTTGGCGCTAGAAGGAGGGGATTTCTAGTCTTTTACTCTAGAATATCAATCGGAAAGATGTCAGACGTAGCGGATCCGGCTTCAGTCCTCGACGAGATCAAGAAGTTGCTTAAAGATCTGTCCGAGAAGACCGACCAGCAGCAGCTCGCCACCACTGCGTTGTCTGAGAAGCTTTCAGCATTTGAAGAGCAAAGCGGCAGCCAAATCGCAGTCCTCACAGCGAGTTGTTCCGAAATCAGGTCAGCCCATAATGCTTATGCGGATCGGGTTGATACATTTCTTGCAGGAACTTTGCGGACCAGCGGACCTCGCGGCCATTTGGACTTTCATGGTCCAAACGTTTCGGAGGTTCAAGATCCTAGACTCTTTTCCCCGAACAACGCACTCCCATCTTCTTTGCCTCTTGGCTCTCAGAGTGAACCTGGAGATGGATCCCGTCAGGCTCAAGCACCTCCAAATTCGGCCGGCGGTCCTTTTGTTCCATCCAGAACACCTCTCCCCATTCATCTTGGCAGCACCCCGCGCCATCCTCAAACCGAGTCCCATCCGCCTCACCTTCCATTCAGCCCGGAAATCCAGAGCTTACAAAATCAGATTCGGGAAATGAGTTCGAGGGTTCACCAAGCCACCAGTTCGGCTCCCGAAGTCGATAGAGTGATCGAGGAGACGAGAAGGACTCCTTTTACTCCACGAATTGTAGCCCTGCGAATTCGAGACCAAAGGAAGGTAAAACTTCCGGGGTACGATGGTAAGGGAGATCCCAAAGAATTTTTAGCGTCTTTTCAGGTGACCGCAGGTCGGGTACATTTGGAGCCCAACGAAGTAGACGCAGGCTTATGCAAGCTCTTCGCCGAGAACCTATCCGGGCCGGCTTTGACCTGGTTTACTCAACTAGAAGAAGGATCGATCGATAGCTTCAAGCAACTATCCACTGCTTTCATCATGCAGTACGGATACTTCATCAAGAGCGATGTAACTGATGCCCAGCTGTGGAACCTCTCACAGGGAGCCGGAGAGCCGCTCCGGACTTACATCACCTCCTTTAAAGAGATTATGGTCCAGATCCCAAACCTGTCTGATTCCGCAGCAATTGCTGCACTCAAGAATGGTTTATGGCACGAATCCCGTTTCCGGGAAGAGTTGGTTGTTAACCGACCAGCCACTATTCAAGACGCCCTCCATCGGGCAACGAACTGGATAAACGCGGAAGAAGAGCGGGCCGCTCTAGCAAAAAAGTTCAAGGCAGCTCCAAAACCTGCTCAACTTCTTCCTCAGAAGAAGCCTGTTCAACCTGAAGTTCGAAAGCCTGGAGCTAGCACATTCTCAGTAGGTCGGGAGGAGCCAAAGGTTTCTCCGAAGAATTCGCCTGCGAAGCAGTCTTTCTCGCCAAAAAGCAAAAACGGCGCTTTCCCGAGTAACAAGTGGATTCGTGACCCAAACGCCTACTGCGAGATCCACAAAGTCAATGGGCATGCTACGAAAGATTGCAAGGCTCTAGGAAGGTTACTGGCTGCCAAGTTCGCATCTGGGGAAATAGCCGAAATCGACGTTTCGGAGCTCGAACCAACTCATCCGTCGGAACGTACAGTACCAACAGAGGAACCGTCTCCTCCCAGCAAGAAAACCAAAAGGATCCAGTCCCCTGATGTTTTTAAAGGACCGAAGAAGCAAATCCAGGTGATTATGGGGGGATCTAAGCTCTTTCGGGATTCCATAAGTGCAATCAAGCAACACGAACGGAGGGCAACCCCCCCGATTATCAAGAAGGCCAGGCTTACTGAGGAACAGTTACCCGAAGTAACATTCTCCGAAAGCGAAACCAGTCAACTTGACAAACCACACGATGACGCTCTGGTCATAACACTCGATATTGCGCATTGCGAAGTATCTCGGGTT